TATACTTGTGATGAAGGGGGAAGTCATTTCTTTATATATTTCTTTTCTTTACTATATTCTTTTTTTTTCTTTTCAATTTTTTTCAATTTTTTCTCTTTTTCTTTTCTGCTTCTATTTTTTATTTTTATTTTTTTTAGTTTGTATTAGTTTTTATTGTTGTAATAAAATTACTATAAAAAAAGAAATATAACAAACAAAAACACAATACCACATATTTTAAGGGACTAAAAATATTCTGTTCAAACTTATTTGGAAGTAAGAAACACTGACAAAATGACACTTTGGTGTAAATTTCCATGACTATAATACTGGCCTTGAGTAACAAAAAGTTACAAACATTTATGTATTTTATTTGTACCTGCCTTTCCCGCAGTGTCTCAAGGCATCATACACAGAGTCCCTCATTCCATTTTCCTCCTACAGCAACCCTATGAATTAAGTTGGGCTGACAGAGAGTAACAGACTCAAAATTACCAGCAAATTTCCATAGCTGAGTAGGACTTTATCCTGAGTCTGCCTGATCCAGGTTATATCTTAGATATACAAGTTACATATATACCTTAGCCACTCTACTACATCTTCCATATCTAAATCATTAATAAATGTTTAAAATATTTATATATGTTGATATAACAAAAAGGGATAATTTATGATGAATTTACCATTATATAGTTCTTCTGTAATACTGTGTATGTGTATTCCAGTTTTGGCAGGAGATGTAGGCAAAGAACTAATAGCTGGTTTCCTGGGGCTAACAGCTGTTTTCCTGGGGCTAACAGATGGTTTCCTGGGGCTTTCTGAAGTACACTATTGGAAATACATATATATGAGAAACATACAAATATACCCAGATACCCATTTTGTTTATCTTTAGTTTTCTACAGAAAAGAAATACATTCCTGTAAGGCAGAAATTATTATAAAAGTTTTTTAATTACATAGAACATAAAAGCATTTTGATTCTTGAGTTTAGATTTTAAGAAACGGTTGATTTGCATTTACTTCTAGCTGAAATACCTGAACAGACATTCATATTATGAACTGGAACTATTATCATTTCATTTAACTAGGGTAGAGAAGGTATCCATATAGCTGGAAAGGATGTGATTTTTTTTATTTCACACAATCTGATCTGAGCAGCATACTATATTTCAAATCTCCTTTCCTGAAGAACCTCAAAAACCTAGTTCCACCAAAAATGGAACCTAGAATGCTTTAGCTGCAACTCAGGGCCAAAATCCAAAGTGAACTACTAGTATTCCAAAACTGTATCAGTTATCACTATTCTCATGCACCATATAAGAAAAGCCACTATGATCTGAAACAAGAAAACATTTTATTTAACATAAAAGGAATGTATTTATAACAAAACCAGCCTTTAAGCATACCGGCAATTTCATAATACAAAATTATAGAGCATGAGAGCAAGCCTTCAATATTGGCCAGAGCTCTGACTATGGACCCTATACCATATTAATATATGCTCCATATAATTAGAAAATTACTCTTCTATTTAGCTCCATGGGCAGGATATTCAGCTGAACTATATTAAACACTATTGATTACTCCTATGACAATACTTTTATCTATTATGCCTGTGTGGTGCAACTTCAATTCACCTCGACAAAGAACTTAATGTCATGGAGATGATTCCCTTTACTTAGGCAAAAAGATAACATGATGTATCTCAATGAGGCACTTCAGGTTGCTTTGCCTAAGTCAACCAGCACTTGCAGGATACTGGCTAAGACCAGCAAAGCGAAGTAATAAGTTCACTTTGCTTTTAACAACGAGGGTGCTATACTGCTCTGCAAGCAACTTCAAGGGGATGCTTCACTCAAACCTTTATTGAAGTGAAGGACCTTTTAGAATGAAATGTATAGCCCGAGCATATCTACATATTTCCTCAAACACAACTTATTTCAAAAAAGGTTTCTTAATTGTCATTAATTATGCTGCATTATATATTTTTTCTTATTATTAGAGTTTTATTCTGGTCAATGATATGGAAAAAAGTGACATTATCTATATAGGCAGATGAATGCCTAGAATGCTGTATATAAATAAATGATCAGAAATGGAAAAATATTTTGCCTGAGATTGTCATCAGCCACTTTGAGAGTACAGTACACAATGGGTAATGCTTATGAGTAGCAGCATGGAAATTACGTCAAGTTTAAAAGCCTCTGAGCTTGAAACAGTTGTTCTGATTTTACAAGAAATGTTCTGTGCTTAGCAAATCAACTATATATCCATAGGCACTAGAAGCCAAAACTGATTAATACAATAAATAATAAATCAAGAAAGATTTTAAAGTAGAAGTAGTTTCTTTGAAGCCATTGAGCACAGAGACATTTTAAAAACCTACTTCTGAATCCCATGGAGATTCTGTACCCTTCCCCTCTTCATCTTTGTCCATGCCCAATGCTGATTTAGCTATAAAATAAAAAGATTAAACTCTTTACAAAATACTCAGTGTCCATTTTTCAAAAATTGAGATTGTGGCAATTCCGTTGTGAAACATATTTTCAGAAGCTATTCATTCCTCCACTGCCATGCTTGATTGCCTGCCAATCTCAGTCCCATTCATGTAGTCACAACTTGGTAAGGCATGACTAAAATAGTTAACTTGATTACAGTGCAATAATTTAAATATATTTCATAGCTACATTCTGCCATCAGCCACACACATTAATTTTACTGAAATATTTCTGAGGAGCTAAAGCAAAATTAATTGTATCTTCTTGATCAGACCCCAAATCTGAATAATCTTTTATTTTGTTTTTGTAAAAGAGAACAACCTTCTTTTGACACAGACTTTCAGAAACCAGCTACAGCACTTTCCAAACACAGAGCATGAAAATTGAAATTTAACACTCTAAACAATGATAGCGTCATAGTAGATGTCCGGTTCCTAATAAATCATTTATTTACAAATAGCCTATTAATGAATAAATAAATATTCACAGAGACAATTTAATTTATATATTTTAATCTTATAATACCAAACTGTATCAAAAATTCATCACCAATTAGCAATAAGTTCTTTCAACTAGTATGTTAAAGAAGTTTGCACAATGCAACATACTTACAAGGAGTAAGTATATCCAACAATGAAAAAGCACTTCCTACTAGCTTCATGAAACTGTAATGCATGAACTAATGAAAATTTTGAAAATAGACTACATTTCTAATTTGTGTGTGATACAGACTGGCTAATAAAACTGGAATTTTATACCTTTTGGTGAAAGATTCCAAGACTGTCTATTAACAGTATTTTTTTTATTGGTAACATCTGAAATATTTTGATCTTCCTGTTCACCATCTTCTTCATCTTTTGAAGATTTCGCCTAACATAAAAAACAACATTCAGTATTTAACGTATGCAGCAATTTGAAATTGTAATGTCCTGGTATTACTTTAAATAAAATGTGTAGAATTTATGACTAAGATTATAATCCTATGTAAATTTATCAGGTGATCATAAACTGAATGGGACATTGTCAAGAAGGTATATTCACATATGTGCTGTAAATAATAAACTAGGGCAGTGGTCTAGGACCACCGGGGTCCCCCAAAACCCTCAAAAGGGCCCCAAAAAATCAAAATTATTTGCCAGCATATGTTGAAAAATAATACAATATTAAAATCCCATCAAACAATCGTGAGAAGTAGTAGCAGCAGCAAATGCATCAATTTTAATTTTTAATATGGTAAATATCGATAAATATAACCCATACAAACAAAAGCTCTTTTGGAGTCCTCCATAATTTTTAAAAGTGGGAAAGGGTCCTGAGAGAAAAATGTTTAAGAAACATTGAACTAGGATATCCTCTGTGTTATATAAAGTGTGCCATGTTATAATACTAGAAATGGTGAACATTTATTTAAAATTACCAAAACCATACATTTTCATTATGTACATTTCTAGTTACGATTACCATTATTTTATTAAACAATGATAAGAAAACAATTATCAATCAAATTAATCAATAGTAAACATAGATCATTGTATTATAGTAAGAATCTGTATGGCTTTTTTCCTTGTACCATCTTCCAAGTAATTTACAATTAAAAGACAAGCTAACAATTATAAAATTAATTTTGAGAAAAAATTTAGAAGCCATTCTTAAAGATCGGGTATGCAAATGTGGCTATTCTAGCCATAAATAATTTTGGCTCCATAGAATAAAACCTATCGGACAGTGGTGGGGAAGCAGCGGCAATGACTATGGTGGAAATCCCTCTCTAGATAAAGGGGAGGCCCTGAGATTGCCCAAAAGTGCTCCTTAAAGAGGTTCCCCACAAAGAGACTGTAAAATAGTGGTCTCCGGCGGGTTTTAGATCTCTGGGAGCCAAGGGAGAGTCAGCTTTGCCCAAGCTGTGGTTTGGAACCTTCAAACAGACACTGGGTTCGCCCACTTCCTTTCTTAATCACTCATGGAAATCACTTGTTAACTGCCTTTTGAACATTAAGAACTTTCAGAATGACAAGTTTCATCACACTGGGCAAGTCTCCTTCAATCCTTAGTGAAGGAGTTTCATGTAAGTTTAAGAACTTAATGTTTGTTTGTTTTTTAAATTCTGAAATAAACAGCAAAAGGCTGATTAGAATGTTGATTTTAGAAAGTTACAAATGGACTAAGGGGCCAGATGGATTAGAAATAATACTTCATGTGGGTTGTTTAAAATCTATTAAAAATATATGAAGATTTTGAATCTAAGTGTAAGAAATCTTCCCGTGGAAAAATGTGGATTAGAGAAAAACATAAGAGGAAATTTTGAAGGCTGGATGCTAGAGGCAACCAGAAATAATTAAAGATTATAATTAAAGGAGAACAGACCTACTAATACAGAATGGAGAAAAGTATTTTAACTTTGGAAGAATTCAAAGATATTTCGGAACAATGCACTCAGAAATTTCTTTTAAGACTGTCTGCTACCATGAAAATGGGTTTAAAAGAGGAAATAGAAGAGAATACAACTGAGAATCAGGCTGTTTTGGATTTGGATTTAAAAATGACAAGCTACAAAATGATATGAAAGATGTTATACTCGATTTACAAATGAAACCAGCTGATATCTTAATAACCAAAAGGGACAGACAAATAATAAACCAGAAGAGTGACTTTGACAACTCTTTTATCTTGGATTTACAAAAGAGATCTGTTATACTCACGAAGGAGTTCCTGAGAAAAGACAAAGAAAAAATGCAAAGAAATCA